CTCCACAGTGAAGTGGTGGTGAGAATTAAAACACATTTGAGAGGTTTAAAAAATTGTATTAATACCTCCTACAAACACAGCAAATACACTTTTAGTATTATAGCTAAATCCAGGTCCATGGGACAAAATGCTTTAGAGATATAAATGGATGCTGTGAAATTCCTATTTAGCAGTGCTCGATATATGATCTTACCCTGTTTTAGAGGTTTAGTTTGTATGATCTGAATCCAATGGCATTGTAAAGTTTTCCCCGTGCAAGGTTTGTCCTAACTTTAGTGTTATGTTGTTCATCAGAGAAGCCTTAAATAAATAGGAATATCACTTTGTGTTGGTTGTTACTTCTAACATGGACCCAAGATTCTGTTTAGAGATTCAAACCACAGAAAAGGTTAGAACAAGTATCTTCACTTCTTGCCTTATTTATAGCTCATAAAGAGCCCTGTACATTATTCATATTGTCTCCTATAATACCACATTGATAGAAGAGCTATGATAATTAGTTTGTATTAAAGTTTTAAGTTGTAATTTACCTTATGCAGACAACCTTCAATATGTATTTAGCAGCAGTAATTTATCAGATACCAACCCCACTATAATGAAGATAACTTCTTGTTTTCAGAAATTGAACTTCCCAAGACTATTCATAGGTGTTGTAACATAAAATGCAAGAATCATCAAAATTATAACAAATCCTAAATTGGAACAAAATACAGTGCTTTATTAACTGTTTTAAACAAAAGAGTCTAGGTTTGGTACAATCTTCAGCACATCATACTTCCTTACAGCAGCATCCCTGCAAGATGTATATACATAAGTGCCATCAAAGGAAATATCATAAACCGGATCACAGTCAGGTCCTGTCAGCTGTACTCTAACATGATAGCAAGTTTCACTGCTGTTTCTGGCTGGAAGCTGGTGATAAACACAACTACCATCAGCTTTCCCAACAAAGAATCCATCTTCTTTAAATGACAGAAGACAAAGTGCTGCACTGTTGGATTCATACCAACAGTAAACTGGTTCTGCAGGTTGCTCAAAAGTATAAAGCAGGATCTGGCCATCCTGACATCCAACCACAAAGTGATCAACTGACAGTACTGTAACACAGTTCACCGCAGAGGAATGCAACTTGGAAAACAGAGTCTGTCGGCTGTGCACTGCCAAACAGTGCACTGTGCCATCCTCACAACCTAGAAGCAAGATCTTATTTGCTGTACCCACTTCATGCTCACCTGCAAAGGAAACAAAAATGAACTTGAGTGACCAGAAAACTTCTGCATTGTTTGTGCCTTGTCAGCATGATTAGAAGTATTCTACTCAGACATAGAATTTTTTTTTACAGGAAAAGAAAATTTACTTTGTAAGGTTTCATAAATTCACCAACAAAGTGGTGAATACTGTTTTTTTATCAGTCCCATGATGATTGGATCTAAGTTGGGTATCGTATATGATGTTTCTTCCAGTCAAATCTAGAATAAGAATTTAAAGAATGTCATAACCGCTTCCTCGTATATACTGTATTTTCTAAATTACAAGACACCTTTTTCCCTGGAAAATGCTGCCTAAAATCTGCATCTTATAATACAATTGTTTTTTCCTCTAAAATTTGAGTGCATCATTCAAAATATACGGTACTTTCCAACTTACACTTCAGAGCAACCCTGGTATTTTTCATCTGATGCTAATTAAGCTCTGCTATTGATATGGCATTGTTAGATACAACAAGAAAGGGCTTTTATTGTCATGCATACAACACTCCAAATAATGTATGAGTAGTCAGAAATGCCAATGTACTGTCAGGCATGCCAAGTCACATACTTGGAGGTTCTGCTGGTACTGCAAATTGCATTTTATTATTCGCCACACCCAAGCAGCAGCTGTTGATTGTTGTACCCAACTGTACAAGGGTTGCTAGGCAACAAGCCTCACCACAGCTCCACAGTTTGGCCGTACCATCTCTGAAAGCACAATTATAGGTTGGTATTTGAGTCTTTATCTGCCACCCTGTGAAAAGCTTCCATTAACGTTTAACTTTACAGTAAAAATGTATGATAAACCTCAAAATTAGGAAATGATAAAAAATACATAAAAAAATTATGCTAATATATATGCTGTGCACATATATTAACATATTGGCTCCCATGCAGGTCACCTGATAACAGACTTTAGTACTATGAGACACACCACTGGGTCACAAGACTATCATTTGTTCGATGCTCAGTCTCCATGAAATGAAATAAGCTGTTTGTAACATCACAACCAGAACAGGAAAAATGCATGAAATTTGTGAGAGCCACTGGATTGACCCAGGGTTCATACAGTTTATGATTTTCTTTTACCAGTGTAGGTTAAGGATGACCGGTGGGTCATAGTCATGCCTGGCAAAATCACTTGGGAGTCAACATGTTAATATCTTTCTCACACTAATCTTGCTGAATATACTTTGGCCTGATGTGGAATTTCATTGAAAGCAATAACCATAACTAGCAAGGGTTTACAGAAGTTTAATTGTATATTTTTACAAAACTTGCAATTAATTTACCAAAGTGCTTCTTACTTGGAGACTGAAATAATGTTACGACCTTTGTCGATGATACACATGTCTGTTACAGCTGCTGTATGGCCACGCAGTGTCACTGGGCACTGTCCAGTTTCAGCTGACCAGATTTTCAGTTGCATATCTGCACCACCAGACAGCACCACTATTCCAGATGGGAAGAAGCGACACTTGTATACATCACCCACATGGCCCTCCAGGGTACGCTGTAAGGTATAGTGCGTCACCAAAATATAGTACATAGAGTGTTTTGTACACTGATCACATCTGGTGAAATAATGTTGTACAGTTTATATGTAAACATTATTAAAAAGCAATCTGTGTCAAAATAGGGGTCTTGTTTAATAATATCACATGGCTAAAATATTATCCACTCATGATAATTGATTAAAAGTCTCTGCAGGTGGAATTTTATCCTCTTGTCCTAAGTCTAACAATTGTTGATAAAATAACACCTAACCACACAGAAAGGGCTAAACATAGTATGTATTCATAGCTCAATAAGCTGCTAGCTATAGGTTGATGATGGGAATTTTTCCTGCTAAGCACAATTTTTTCTTGCCACCACATCTAGACTAGCTGTGGGACCACCCAACCTATCTGATGGGTCCTAGTGGGTACAGCACAAAGCTGAACACTTGCTTCCATGCAGTGCCAAGGTTAAGAATATGTGGAGCTTTACCTCCACTTTCCTACTTGTCATGGTGTGTAGACATATTGCCTTTCATACCTCAACTTTTGGATTGCTGCACATGGGAGGTTAGTAAGCAAAGCATTTATTTTACAAAAGTAATTATATTGACCTCAGCTGGCAAATATTCTTTATGCAAGACATATAATATGCTGTACATTCATACTTGACAGTATGTGAAAGCTTTACAGATAATATTCTTTTTACATATTTCAAAACTGATGAAAGATGGCTGCCTTCTAGGTTATAGAGCCATGTTGTCTGGTAGAAGTTTATCGACATTTCAGAGGTACTTGCTACTTCCATCATCAGGGCAATGAGTAAGGGTAAAATTCAAAACCGATGTTTTGCCTTTCTGTGCTACAGTAAGTCTATACTTAATGTGAATGGAAATTCAAATTTACCCTCAAAAGACCTTGTCTAGTGTCCCAGACTTGGAGTTTATTTTCAGTGCATACCGACACACACAAACCCCCAGATGTAGCATCCAATGATATGACCTGTAAATGAAAATAAATTAAAATTTCTTCCTCACAGAATTGTAACTGGGATATAATGCTCAATTGTTTAAATATTTAACAGCAAATACATGCAAGTCAATAAACAAACATCCAGTGTTGAGATTAATAATGCATGTTAGGTGTTGCCTAAATGTTCCTTATCTGCCTTCCTGGCACCATGCTTAGGGCACACTGACTGTTCTCTGAATAATTCTACTAACTTAATGACCAAATTTTGAACTAAAGAAAGGTGTTATCACATTTTTTTATAATAAATCTGTTTAGCAAACACTACTACCTACACTTTTTAAATGTATTCCAGTGAAAACACTACAAGGGGCAACAAAAATACAGATGTTCCCAGATTCATGCTTCACTTGGATTGTATTTCGTGAAATTCCACAAACTGTAAAGCCATTTGTTGTCGTGACTTGAGGAATACCCTCATTGGAAAGGCCACGGCTGTATATATTTCCTTGAAAACTGGCCTGACCTAAAAGAAAGAATCTTTGTTACAGAACTATGCTTAAGAGTAACATGCAGCACATCCTGCTGTACTAAACACCCAATAGATTATGCTGCAAAATTCCAACAATAATTACCTCTTAATTTACAGGCAATCCACACTTCTGTGTTCACCTGCCTGTAAATAAATTCACAAAAGGCAATTAGGTTTCACACAATATGTATCAATCTTTGTAAAACTGACACTTCAACAGATTTTTTAAATTCAGAGGATGTCAGGCAAATGACTGGTTAACTCCTTCCTATATTGTTACTATACTCAACAATGAATATTATAAATGTTAAACTGCATTTCTGTAAACCAGCAGAAAAAGAACAACGAATATATTCTGTGGTTTTATTAAGGTGAAGTTCTATAGAAATCCAGATTCACCATATAAATATACAATTAAAATTTTTTACTTCTATACTAAATGAAACATTCAAAGTTCCTTTTAAATGCTGTGGCCAATTATCTTAAGTAAGTTGTGTGACAGGTTAGAACAGAACAGTATGTTACTTTTGGTAAGTGACTAAACTGGAATTCATAAAATTATAATTGCAACCATTGTTCAAGCAGTGAGTCAACATGATCAATTTCATTTACTTTTGTCAAGAGCTTCATATTATTTCAACCACCGTAGCTGTAAAAAATAAAATCAACTTACCTAAGTATTTCATCCCAATCACACTGAATCGAAATAACCGGTGTGGGGATACGATTACCACCAGGCATGAGGAACAGGTAAGTATCCTTCCTGTTCTGCTTTCTGATCAGATTTAATTCCACGGTTGACTACTTGGCGCACTGTCTGGAGATACGTAATCTAATTTAAATATTAATTATAATTAAAAAAGACAGCTGAGGGTTTTGGTATCTTAAACACTACATGGACCTTGAAGAGACATAAACTACTTGTTTAGAAACAGCTCATCTGTGTTCATTTCACATTGAATTGCACCTATACATACGAACTGCCAATTACCTCCTGATAGATATCACTAGCTGTCAACACCCTTCCCTCATTGAAACGCATATGCGTACTTATAGACACAGTATAATCTATGATGAAATTCGCTGAAGAACGTGCTGTTACAATAAATGTTCACCCACCCCACTTAGTTTTTACAGAAAGAACTTATACCTCATCTATAACTCTGACATTTAACGAAATTTGTGTTATAAACACCAATATGTCGCACTAAACCGTTATCTCTGCATAGAGTAATTTCTATTGTATTGTTTGAAGAAACAAGAACAGTATTATGAAATAAACCTAATGAGGAACGGGAGTTAGCGGGCATTAGCAATCCTCTTACACGCCTTTTCCATCTTCAATTGTTTCATTTATCTGTGAAATACTCAGCCATATTCGAGTAGCTGTGTGAAGAGTTCCAGGTATATTTTGTTGATGATGTTGTATTCTGTGATCGTACAGTTATGCGCATAACATTTGGAGGAGTGATGGGCGTTTCATTGACGTGGAGTTTAGGCTTCAAAGCATCTGATGCATATTCTTGGTATTTTTGCATGACTTGTTAATAAAATGGATGGTGTCGAAGAAAATATCAGAAGGCTGTTGGATGGCCAAGCTCAAGAAGACTGCCAAGACCTGTGTGACTTCACCCTTGAAGAACAAAATGAGGCAACAGGTATTTAAAGTTGTGCTGAAGTCACAGTTCAATCATATGAATAGAACAGATTAGCGTATGCAAGCATAACTAAAATACATTATGATGTAGTTTTAGTGGGTTTTATGACGTACAAGTCCGATCATAATAGAAAATTATGAGTCACTTAATATCGGATGCTCCTGTCGAGATCAACAAATTAATAGGGGGAGGTACTTCAACGTCTGATGATATAACTGTGATGTTATGGGTTGTAATACCCTGAAGTCATACAGGTAGTT